TAGTTCTGGAGAAAAATACGCAGATGAGAAATCTCCTTTCCCTTTTTAAAAATTGAATTTAATGTAGAATCAATTAACACCAAGATTCTCTCCTTAATTTTAGCGCGTTTTTAGGGAATATTCTGCTCTTTTAATGCCTAATAGTCGAATGGTATATAAATTGTAATTAAAGTGTGGACTGGGCGGGTAATTAACAAACTATGCACATTTAGGGTAATAAGGTTTCATATATGGTATAGTTAGGAAAAAATCCCTTCAATAAATGGGCGGGTCAATAGCCATGGTAATTATGTGCGAATTCAACTCGTCCTAGTAAGATTTTAGTCGAGCTAAAAAGATTCTAGTCTTCTAAATAGACATGGTAGTTAAGTCTCCTTAGGCTATTTATAGTAGACCTCAAATACTACTGGTAATTATTTGGGACTTTTACCTAGCTATACTATTTTAGAAATTTAATTACTTACAGCTTGTTTGGATGGTTGTTACACATCGTTTCATAATCTATTGTATTGTATTGTATTGTATCATTTGATGAATACAATGTTCAGATAGATTGTATCGTTTGCCATTATTTCATAATATTATGCACCATCAATATGAAGAATAAAGTTACAATATTATAAAGAAAAATTATGATACGGGGTAAATTTATTATATAAAAAGGTAGCGTAAATGATAAAATTATACCTATATATATANTTTGGAAGTATAGAAATCATAAGTTCATAAACCTTAACATAGTACTATTAAGACTGAGATGAAGCGACATTTCTAGAGAGAGAACGTCTTCCTTCTCTCTAAAATACCCCATATGCACATTAACTCCTCATCCTTAACTCACCTAGGGCATCTATGGATTCCGATCAAGTTCTTTTCCAAATCCCCCCAAAAACCCCTGACGCTACCATCGACTGTCACAAAAATCAAAGGCTTTGGAAACTCCAAAAGTCCCCCCAATCCTAACAACTCCTTCTTTCAAGGATACCTTCCTAAAGTAAGAAAATACCATTAATATTACTACAGACCCTTCCACACCCCCAATTACTTGTTCTGATATGAACATTGAAGGTTGTCTCATGCTTCCCCCATCCAAAAATGACAACAACAAACTTTCGATTACAATACCAATATCCCTGGAAGATAAGCAAAAAATCTACCTTCCATGGAGATTCTCATTAATCATAAAACTTCAAGGGAAAAGAATCCTTCATCAATTACTAAAACGGAAAATCCAAGAACTATGGAAAATAAACGAAAATTTTCCTTTAATAGACCTTGTTAATGATTATTTCACAGTTAAGTTACAAAAAGAAGAAAATATGAACCAAATTCTTGAAAAGTGTCCTTAC